GACGAGCAGCTGAGCGGGCTGCCGAGCGCGCTGCGCCACCCGGCCAACGAGTGCGCCCCCTACCAGCTCAGCGCGGCCGGCCTGCCCATCGCGCCCTGCGGCGCCATCGCCAACAGCCTCTTCAACGACTCCTTCTCCCTGTGGCACCAGCGCCGGGCCGGCGGGCCCTACGTCGAGGTGCCGCTCGACCGCACCGGCATCGCCTGGTGGACCGACTACCACGTCAAGTTCCGCAATCCGCCGCTGGTGAATGGCAGCCTGGCGCTGGCCTTCCAGGGCACAGCGCCCCCGCCCAACTGGCACCGGCCGGTCTACGAGCTCAGCACCGATCCCAACAACACCGGCTTCATCAACCAGGACTTCGTGGTGTGGATGCGCACGGCGGCGCTGCCCACGTTCCGCAAGCTGTACGCGCGCATCCGCCAGGGCAACTACTCTGCCGGGCTGCCGCGGGGCGCCTACCGCGTCAACATCACCTACAACTACCCGGTGCGCGCCTTCGGCGGCCACAAGCGCATCATCTTCAGCAGCATCTCGTGGATGGGCGGCAAGAACCCGTTCCTGGGCATCGCCTACCTGGTGGTCGGCTCCCTCTGCATCCTCATGGGCTTTGTCATGCTGGTCGTCTACATTCGCTACCAGGACCAGAACGACGAGGACGAGGAGTAATTCTTGCTTTCAGAGTATCCTTTCTGCTTCTTGCCAAAATTGTCTTGCAAGCTTCTTTTGGCTTCTCCCTCTCGACCCTCACCCAGTTCCAACCTTGCCTCACTTCGCCTCCTGTTGTGGATTAGGGGACCAGGGAGAGGGGAGTTAAACCCAACTGGGAGCTTCTGGACTCTTCCGGGGTGTTCGGACTGCTAGAGTGAGAAGTCCCTGCAAATTCTCCCCACGGCCTTCAGGATTTACCGAGTTGACACCCTAGGTTCTTTGAGAGCAGAAGGGACGGTTAGAGACTCCTCTTATTCAATTCCCGTCTGATAGACAGACCAGAGAAGTTAAAGATCTCGTTAGAGATCTAGCAGCTACTCCTTAGCTCCTGATTCTAGAGCTTTAACCACCACAGCACAGTGGTTTTCTTTTCTTTTAGCGGGCGTTGGGGGTGGGGGCGGTTTGAGGTAGAGAGTGAAGCCCCCAAGTAACCTGCAGAGGTATAGAGGGGTTGGGGAGGACATACTGGTTAAAAATGTTAGGTAGATGAGGAGGCCTCATCCCCAGAGATTCTAACACAGCAAGGCTGCAGTGAGATCCTCCAAGCTGCAGTTTTAAGAGACCCATCTGCAGATTTCCACTGTATTGCCTCAAGTTTGGGAATCAGTGCCCTGAACCAGGGAGCAAGTAGAACACTGCCTGCTTCCCAGTTTCCTCGTGTGTCTGAGGCTGGGCCTGAAGCAATCACTGCGTCCAGTTTTTCAGGTAGTCATTTGTTCCCAGTGGCAATGACAAGCTGAATGCTGTAAGTTTGGTCTAGCACTTCTCCATGAATGAGTAAAGACAGCTCCTTGGCATACAGATTTGTATAGTGGGGTTTGTATCAATTCATCTGATATTTGAGTGTGAGGAATTTACATTTATATATATATATTTTTTAATCAAGTACTGTGTAGAAGTTTGAAAATGCCAGGTCAGTTTGTATAGCTCAGAGGGGATGTTCTAACCTTAGAATAAGATAGCCAGAAGGGATCTTAAAGCGAAAGTGATTTCCCTAAAGTCATATCTACATCTCCTGACTCAGTCCTCTGTCATCTAAATGATTTTTTTATGCTTAGAAAGGGCTACATTTGTACCTTTCCCCTTGGGTCTAAGAAAAAAATTTAATCTATGTTCTCAAATGAAGCATGTTTGTCTGTAGTAATATGTTTGAATGCATACGAAGGAATAGAGCCTTACGTAAACTAGAACTTTAAGAATTATTTGAACCTTTGAAATGATGCTCAACTCTGACTACTCTAGAATCATTCTAATATCTATAAAGTTATTCTAAGAAAATGGACTTTTATGAGAAAGTAACTCAAAAAAGTGAGATCATCTTAACCAGTTTATTTACTGAAAGCAAACAGTTACTTGGTTTTCTATCGGAATTCTCGGTGCCTGTTTTCTATTATGGCTACTTCCCAAATGCTACAATTTTTGCTCATGCCTGTGAAGCAGTGCAAGACCTTGAATTCCTTTTTTTTTAAGTTGTCAAAAATATTGAACTGTATTGAATAATTGACTTTCATTTTATTTTACTCTATTCTAGTCCTTTGAAAATTAATAATCAATAGACAGCAGGCATATTCACCAAAGTCTGTCTCGGATCTTTTGGAGCAGTTGTGATTGAAGGGATTCTGCCCCACAAAACAAAAAATGTTTCATAATTCCAGTCTATTGGCTTCCCAACTCTTGAATGTGACACAATTTTATTGTTAGACTTCGTACTGTGGTTTTAGCCTATGAATATATGATCATATGTATATAGAGTAATTTTTATTTATTATGAATGTTTGATTGAGCAGCTCACTAGCCTAGTCCTTCTTTATGATGGATAAGAAAATTTACCACATTTTTTTACTACGTAGTTGAGAGCAACCATGATTTTCGCTATCATTTTTACAATATTAATTCTATTGCTGGAAAATTTTAAATGAGACTACAAAACTGAAGGTATTCTGATTAAATCAATGAGTACAGTTCCAGGCTCTGTTCTCTGGGTTTTTGAAAGAGAATAAAGGTTATGTTTGCATTTCCTTTGTTATCGTGTTTGCTTAATTCTTTTGAACTATGATCTTAAAGGCACAAACATTAAAAAACGTACCAATACCAACCACTTTGTTCATTTGTTATTAGGTTTATAATGCAGCAAGAAAATCATCTTTCAGAATAAAACTTAAAGTGAACTTGAACTTATATCAACAGAATCAATAGAATTTGAACTTACATCAAGATCAATGTGTAGTACAAATGAGACAATCTTCAACTATTGTTTGAATCTGGTAAAATGGTCAATTTTTAATAATTTTCAGTATTAACAGTTACTACAGAATGTGATTGCAGCAGTCTTCTCTATTTCTGCATTTCACTCAGATTCTTTTTTTGGCTGGGGGAGGGAGGTAATTAAGTTTACTTATTTTTGGAGGAGGTACAGGGGATTGAACCCAGGACCTTATGCCTGCTAGACAAGTGCTCTACCACTTGAGCTATACCCTTCCCCTTAGTTGGATTCTAAATGGCAATTATTTGTTGGGTATTTTGGACTACAAAAGCCTCAGAAACATTAAAAACAAAAAGTGAAATATTTTCCTGTGCTGTAGCATTTTTTTTGGCATTATGGGATTCGAGCTGGGCTTGAATTTTCATGTTGTCCAAAAAATTACCTCCTAGCTAGAGCTTTGTCGTCTGGAATGAGACAGAAAAGAGTGAACCTCAACAACAGGACTAGAAATGTGCCCTGATCTACCTTGTGAAATAAATCACAAACAAAAGAGACATTAATGTGGTTGGCGGGAACTCCCCAAACAGAATAATATGACAAGAAAGACTTTCCAAGAATCTCCAGAATCAAATCAACTAAACAACCGTAGTTAAAAATCAGAGACAGAATAACAGTCTGTGATTTCCTTTAGTAACAAGTAACAGTTCACACTACATAACCACAACCCTTTCTACCTCATAATCTCTGCTCTCTTCTTGTTACTGGGGATCTCAACAATCCGGAGTAAATTCCCAAAAAGAGTTATTGGGAGAGCTGCAGTGTAGTCAGTTCCTTACATGACCCTGGATATAAGTCATCAGTTAACTGTAATAACAGCAAATTCCCTCTTCCTTTACTTTTATCGGGCATTTCTTTGCATTCTGATTTTTTTCCCCTACAGCTAAAACGGCTGACTGATTTTAGATGACAACATTTTAAAAAAAATGTTTAACTTCATTTTTCCCCCCAGGAGAAGTTATCATAATTTCCCTCCCACAAAAGCAAAGTCATTTATGAAGTGTCATTAAAAAAGGTCTTAATGAATCTGACTGAAACCCATGAAGGTCCTGGAGAGATATTACATGAGAGTAGCACTTTGTGTAAAGAATCTGCAAAAATTGCAGACAGCATGGACTCTATACAACCATCCCCCATAATTTCCCTGATAAGACAGGCAATGAGTATTCAGGAAAAAATACTTCCCCACTGGTTTGCCATGTGGCATTATGATTCTCACCTTTTGGGCTAAATTAGTTCCCACAGCAAGGTGGCATTCCTTTATTTCATGCACTTGGCTGAGCCATTGGACAGAGCAAAGTCCTGAGGCGGTGAAACCCAACACGGACTGGGGGTGCAGAGGGAGAGGAGAGGGGTAATCCAAGGGAAAGGTGAGGTTTGGAGCACAAGGCATTCTTCTGGGCCAGCAGGGTGTCTAGAATGGGTATCTTGGCTGCGAAGGCAGCCCAGTGCAGAGGGCAGAGCTCGCCAGCGGACCCACAGATGACAAGACCTTTGAGAAATTCAGTAAGCGGATGGTGGCTCACCTCTGAACCTCTCAGCCTGTCTTTTTGATCAATTTGAGTGTGTGATTTATCTTTTTCCTTAGAAGCAAAAGGTATTACTGTCAAGAACCTTCCCTAATAGCCTTGCTTTCCATATTGAGCTCTTAACTAAGGTCCCATTAAAGTGGCTGAAACCTTACATTACTGATGAAAACTGCAAATGATGTGTCACTAATAAGGATGCTTTGTGCTTCTAAAAGGCCTTTGTTCTGGAAGTCCAAGGTGCTTAACACTATGTGGTCTCATTAATCTCAGCCATCAAAACGCATGAGCGTTTAGAAAGTCATCAGGACCCACGAGCGAGAAGTATATTCCCTTCTATTTTGCTCAGTTTTGCTCAGAACTCTACAAAAGTAAACAGTGTTCTACAAAAAAAAGCATAACCTCTGGGTGAGGCACTGATAGTCATTTCAATGGGCCACTTAAATATTCTCGAAGGAAGACTTGATTATTTCTTGTTATGATATTAATTAGTAAAAGACATCCCACTTTTTTTTTGAAGAATCCAAAATGAGAGCTGCGTCACTTCCTAGTCATAGTAAAGAATAGAGGGTAGAACACATTTTACTCTTTGTTTGTTTTTTCCTACAGGGCTTTCATGGTTAAGACTTTATCTTGTTACATCAACATAATTTGCAAATCATTGAATGATGGTATCTTTCATACCATTAGGAGACAAATTAGCTCAACATTCACTTTGATGAATCTTTAAAAACTTGTTGAACATCATAAATGTAAATGGCATAATCTCTATCTCCAACCCTACCTTCTCTCCAAACATGTCCAGCTGCCTCTGGGACACACCTAAATGTCCTACAAATAGCACAAGCTCCATGTGGTCAGCGTGAAACTCACTGACATTTACTCCAAACCCATTCTTCCAAGGCTAGTCCCAGATGCTGAAAATGACTCATTGATCCCACCCCATCATCCAAGCCCAAAACCCGAACTGCCTCCTTGGCGCCTCCTCTGTTTTTCCCACATTCAACTGGTTGTCAGATCCTGTTGCTTCCATATCCCAAATGCACTTTCAATCAGGTCTCTCTCTGTCACAGCCCTGGCCCAGGACTTTGTTATTTCTCATCTGGAAGTTGGAGGAGCCTGCTAATTGGACTGCAGTTTATTCCCAGCCACAGAGAGCTAGCCAAGACACAGATCTTACCATATCACCCTCAACTTCTAATCTCTCGTGGCTACGCACAGCCTCCAGGAGGAGGTCTAAATTCCTCAGCAGGGACTTCAGGGTATCCCTCTAGATGTCCATTCCCTTTGCCTCCAAGTCTCCACCAAATTCTAGCCATGTTGAGTGATTTAAAGGGGCCTGAGCCCAGCATCCCCTTATGTCTTTGCCTGCATTGGTCTCGCACATCCACCTGACCACCTGACTCTCCCCGTTCATCCTCAGGACCACGTGGGCTCAGAGTTTGTGTCCTCTCTCCTCCGTGAAGTCCTCCGCAACCCCTCCTTGCCTCCTCCACCCCCATCCTCAGCCTACTTTCCCTGTGTGCTTTTTCCTCTCTCACAGCACCTGATGCTTGCCTACAAACTGCTTCCTTGCTTATCTGCCTCCATCTTCAGACTTAGTTCTTTGAGGGCTGAGGATCCTTTTCCCTCATTTATGTTTATTGTCGCCAGTGCCAGGCTGTGCAACTGGCATGTGGTGTGTCCTCAAACATGTATTGAATGATTATTAGGAAACCAGTGATTCCAGGATTTTCCTGCCACTGAACGTATTACTTCTGACAATAGAGTTGAATGCCTAGGAAATAATTGAGGAAACAAAGGAGATATGGAGATGACACCCTAAACTTTTGAAAATCATCGAATCAGGAGTACCAAGAATGCACATGTATTTTTAAGAGCATGAAAAGGCTAAGCTTAGGGTTCTTATTTGGATAACTTACATGTGCAATCGGGTTTTCCCCCCATAAACTAATCTGCAGAAATGAATAGCAGATGGGTTACATTAGTTCATTGATAGTGGGGACAGTTACTTTATACTCAGATGAGTGTCTTTCCTATTAAACTGCAGTAAGTTAATTGAATGTTTACATTTTTGTGGAGCTTCTCTATAGAGGAGAATTTTTTACTTGCTCTAGTATTCTATAACAAAATGTAAATGAACATTGCTTTCCTCTGCCAGATAATTACCCCAGGATCCATTTAAATGAAAATAGCCTGTGTAAAGAAATATGCAGAAAGAAAAGCAAAAATAAATGGAATACTAGTTGTCCCATTTGCCGGCTGGTGTTTGGTTTATAATGTTTGGCACATCTTGATATCTACATAATAGGAGTTTTAAAACCATAAATAATATTTTACAGAGGTCACACCATAGTTATTTAAGTTCAGGGGTTTATTTCCCTGAGCACTAAGTAGCTATGAATGAATTATGTTTAGTCTGATCTGCCACAGAAGGGCCATAAACCTCCAAGTCATAGCAAACCGTGGAATATTGCTTCAATACGTCAGGAAAATGGTACATGTAAAAGAATAATGCATGATAAGGGAAAGGTATTTTTATTTTTCTAAAGTAATATATGTTAAGGGGCAGGAGCTATAAAATTTTGTTATGTTAAACTTTCCTCTGATTCTGGAAAACACATTAAGAAATGGCTTTGCCTGGTCAGCCCTAAGGCAAAGCAAGCTGTGGGGACCAGGGAAGGCCTAGGAAGGAGAGTTTGACCTTGAATCAGGAGCAGTTGCTCCTCCCTGGAATCCTGGACCTCCAAAAGATTAAAGCAAAGCAAAGCTGCAAGAACGCAAGAGGTGGTTTTGCAAACTTCTCTTAACTACCAGCATTCTTCTCCCTGGCAAATGTTTTGGATTCCCAGGCAAGTGTTTTTGTAGATACCGAGAAGTCAAGGAAGTTGTTAGCATTAAGGGGCAATTCACTTTTAAAATTAAATCCAGTTAAAATGCTTAAACAAAACTGTTATGCACTCACCAGACAACTTGCTAAGCAATCTCCCTTGGTTTTCTCCCTTAACTTTCATAACAACCCTGATATTATATCTGCATTGGACATGCACAGAAACAGAGGTTTGGGAAAATACAGAAACTAGTCCAAGGCAACATGGTGGGCAAGAGACAGCTGGGAGGTCAGCGTGACTGCAGAAGCTCCCTGCTAGTCAAAGTCAACAGCGACGCTTTCCAGGCAATGTTCTAAGTGCCCTACCTATATTACCACATCGTAATCCTCACAGCCATCCTGT